AGAGAGAAAGAAAAAAATTTTTTTTTCTATATGATTATCAAATCTCTAGATCTAAAATCAATATATAGGGGGGGGGGGGAGGATCGGCCATGATCATAAATTGCCGGATAATACCAATACTAGGCAAATTGTTGAATATGGTAATTTGGCTCAAACAGACAAATGATTGGCTGACACGTGCCGCTTCGTAGCACGTATCAACCAATCATTTGCCTGTTTGAGCCAAATTACTGTTATTCAACAATTTTTGCCCAGTATTGTATACTTATTAGGTGACAGGAAATGTGAAATTATTGATCAGATTTCGTAGTGGTGCAAAGCCAATAAAAGTTCAGTTGGGATCCATGTTTCTTCGCAGGTATATTATGAAAAAAAAACATGGCAATTATTCTTTATGTTGTTAATACTCCAATCACTTTGATTTTAGAGTACCTTCAGATTGCCTAGGCTAGAAAATCCTAATTCTCCCGATAAACCAACTATTCTATCTCCTGATGCTTCCATAGTCCTCAATCAAGGTTTTTGAAAGTTATTAAATATTACGGCTGATGCTGAAGTTTGGCTGATATTGAAGCTAAAAAATCTGATTGGCTAAATTTTGCAGATCACCCTAACTCTAACCAATCAGATTTTTTAGCTTCAACATCAGCCAAACTTCAGCATCAGCCGTCACATTAAATATAAGGGGAATTTACAGATAAGGTCCCAAAAATGAAAATAATTACAGATAAAGGCCCAATATTTGAAAATTATTACAAATAAGGGTCCAAATATACCGTCAAAATTACTAGCCAATTTAAACATAATGGTATCTGATTAATTGCCTTATTTCATGATTAAATAGGTGTTTTAGAGTTATTATTTATTATTCAGAATTAAAAAGAAAACACAAAAATCTGACTGACCAAACAGATTTTGAGCAAACTGAAAATTAATTTTGTGTGATCTAATAGCTTTACTTCTCAAGCCACCATATATGGTGTCTTGGCTCTTATTTTAAACCGAACACGATTTATAATATCAAGAGGTCGAAGTACTCTATTTTTTTAAATAATAGCACAGTAAACTTTACAAGATATGACCACACGCATTGAATGCTTCCAAAGAAGTTAAACAAGTTGGATCATGAGGAATCAGCCTTACTATATGAATGTAACCACTTTTGCGCTTGTTAGCTAAAATATTAAAAGGGTATGAACTAGTTTAGTTTGTAAAACAAATAGCCAACAGCTTATTTCGTTTGTTCGTTCTGAACTTATAATAAGAAGAAAATTCGACAGAATAACTATTCAGGGCCGAATGAACATTTTTATATTAGTAAAATCATACCGATCTGTAATTTTGTATTTGACATGGTTTTTGTTATAAGCAGGCAGGTTTTTAAGAAATATATCAACAATTTTAATGGAATAAATTTACAGCATAAATAATTGGTAGATGAATCGAATATACATTTTTATTGTGTATTTAAATTTATATGAATTACTAATAGATTATCAATACATTTCTTATGTTAACAATTAATGACTAACGAGGCATAAATCATAGGTTCTTAAACACATAATTATTTTGGACCCTTATCTGTAATAATTTTCAAATACCGGACCTTTATCTGTAATTATTTTCATTTTAGCCCCTATTTGTAATTATTTTCAGTTTTGGGCTCTTATTTGTAAATTGCCCTAAATATAAAGATAGTTTTCATTTTTTAAAATCGTTAATTATCGTTAATTTATATTTTGCATTATTGCAGATGGGATTCTTTAACCAATGAAGCCAAAAAAGAAGTATTTCCCCCAGTTGCCCCAAATTTCATCGTTGAGTTTAGGGTTGCTGGTGCAGAGCACTTTGCGACGCCAATGGTGCACCATTTTGGTATACTATCTGGCATGCCAATATAAGTGTAGTGCAAGAGTGGGGAGCCAATTATGTTCATTGTATTTTTTACTATTGTTTAGCTTAAAAGTTTTATATTTGTATTTATAAATATTATATT